GATTTCGGTGTCATTCGACACATCTCGACGAGTTCTGTAACCTAGAACTGACTGACCATTTTTAATACTGTTAGAAAAGAAAAAAGGAGAGGGGGGTCTCATCCGAACTATTACCATAAGAAATACCGTGAATTTACAGCCCTGCTCTATTAGAAGTTTATATTTAAAAACCGCGCATGGATGCCTATCGAAAAATAAACACCAAGTCTCTGATAGTAAACGCCTATATCTAATATAAACCAATCAAAGTGACCTATTGGAAGGATAAAGCTCAGGGCTTTTAATTAGAGCATTTAAAATTTGAAGTTTAGAGGGAAATTAATAAAAAAATTAAAAATTATTTTAAAAAATTTCTCAAAAATTAAAAAGGATGTCGAAAAACTCAGCGCTCCATTAAGAAGATATTCTAAAAGATTTGCTGGTTTAATTCGTAATTTAATGTATAGAATATATCCACAAGGAATGGCTGCACCTTTAATGATTGACTCTTTTGGTACACGAAAAACTGATGATAATTATTGTTTGAAGTAATTGTAATCAAATCTTTTATTTAATTTCTGATTGTGAAAACAAAGAGAATTATTAAATATTATTAATTTGTGTTATGAATCAAAATTTACCGGCAAAGTTTGATAGGATTAGTATAGATAAGATTCATGCTCCGATAGGAACTCAAGTCAGTGCTCGGAACAATAGTACCGTTGAGCTACCAAAAGCCTATCTCCGGTACCATCAGAAACGTCTAGATAGATTATAAAAGTTTTGATACATGTGCGGACCAGTAGTTTCTTGATACTACTGGTTTCGAAAATTTTTTTACTTATATTTTATTCAAGGCACACCCCCAAAAAATTTATTAAAAATTATATTTATTAAACTTGATTTTACTAATGAAAATTATGTATACCATATTTACAATTAATATACCACATATAAATAATTTATTTTTAAAATTTTTTTCTTTAGAAAACACAATTTAAAACATATCAAATCAACAGATGAAAATACCTTTTGTTTGAATTCTGGATTGTGTTATAGTGCAAATAATGGTCCTCGTTGTGATTGTTTCTTTTCAGATTATGAAGGGAGAAGATGTGAAAATAGTGAGAGAATTTAATAAAGATCATAATATACTTTAAATGCTCTAATTAATCCCAGCTCTAATCCATATATGGTTAAGTCAAAGGTTAAGAAAATTGACTAATTAATGAAAAACAATACTAATATTACCGAAAATTCTCGACTTTTAATCCTAATTTCAAAAATCGGGAACTCCAGTTGGTATTTTATTGAAGATTTTAGAAATCAGGAATTTTTTAAAGTCCCGATTTCTTGACGACTTTCGGGAATTTCTAAGAATAAATTGTATGTATAATACGAGTTACCATTGGATAGCATCCGAAAACTAAAGGTTAAGTCTCGCGACCATATCTAATATGAGTTTAATTAAATTGTTCTATTGAAAAGAAGTATCCCGGGTTTCATTAAAGCATTTATGTATACCGTATTTACTCTAATAATCCCCCAGTCCTTTATTAATTCCCCAGTCTCTATTAATTCCCCACTCTAGAGATGGGTTGAAAAATAATCCCCCTTCTTTCTACCCCACTCTATTAATTCCCCAGTCTCTATTAATTCCCCACTCTAGAAATGGGTTGAAACAATAAGGGATTACTAGAGAAAATACGGTATATGAATTAATTAATTTTTATAGAAAAGTCAAGCACAGAAGTATCATTTTTTGGAAATGAATGGATAGGCTATGATAATTTACATAATGAAGGGAATAATAATGGAATTAATGATGAAGACCTTTTGGCTGTTTTGAGTCATCGAGAAATTTATAATATCTCTTTTAGAACAAATTTTTCTAAAAATTCTCTTCTTTTTGTTGCTGGGGATTCTAAGGTATGTTTTAAATATTTATGGGGAGAATTAATTAGAAATGAAGACTGAGATATTAGCATATCTTCTGTATTAAATCCCCTTTAACTCAGAATTGGAGTCAGCTCTTTGATGAAACTCCATTTTATATGTAGGAAAGGAGTGACTGAAAATACGTTATTTTATAAATAAATTTTGTGAAAAATGTCAGTCTAATTGAGACTGATCTATCTTCGTGTAGCACTTTTTTTTTGTTGTGCCCCGAAGCTCCACCCCGTCGATTTTCTGGCAAAAAGCTCTAAACTCCGCTCCGCGACAAACCACGATTCCCGAAATCACGATCCTGAAGAGTCGGGATTCTCAATTTAGGTAGAGTTGGCTATAAATTCATCGAGATCTATTTTTATTTATTATCTGGAAAGGTGCAGAAATAAAAATGTTTTTATAAAAATATTAAAAAAATTTAATATTGTTATTATTAATATATTAAGAGTAATTTTAAATTAACAATTGATAATGGAGAACTTCTAGCAACACATCAATTAGCAGAGACTGACAAACGTCTTATTCGAGTTCAAGATCGCAATCAAAGACTGCCTCTACATTTTAATAATAATTTATGGCATAGTGTTTGTGTTGTGAGAGAACTGAATTCTGTAGGTTTTAATTTTGGTATTAGACGAAGACGATAATTGTTAGTAGATCTCGATGATCATGAGAGGACAGAGAGTCCGATCCTTAGTCTCTTAATGATATTATTCCAGTCCTTCATAATTGAAGTGAATATACCGTAAATGCTCTAATAGAAGCACAGTATCTATTTGAAGCACAGTCTCTAATAGAGGCACACCCTACGAGAGGATCGAAAAATAAAGGCACAGTCTCTAATTGAAGCACAGTCTCTAATAGAAGCACACCCCTAGTATACACTGAAAAAGTTACATTTTTCTTAAAAAAGTTACATTCCCCCATTTATATACCACAACTGATCCCCACTGATTATCGAGTGATTAGAAGTGATTGAAAGGGAATTTAGGGCATTTACAAGCATATAAAGGATTCAAAGAGATATCGAGAGATTGGGGGGGGGGGTTGGGAATTAAGAGGAATATCAGGTGAAATCCGAGGATTTGGACGGATACGAAGATATGCTTCGAAGAGATATTTTGAGAAGTGCCCCTGAGAAATTATTTATATAATTCTCCTGATATACCTACCAATCGCCCAAATACACAATATCCTTCCTAGTCCCTCTAACTCACTCGATATCCACCGATATCCTACTTAATCACTTAAAATCCGCTTATATACCTCGATATCCCTCCAATCCGCCATATCCTTCTTGATCTCTTGATGTCATACAAGTGGGTTTCTCATTGAGAATAATGAAAATGGAAAAGAAAGCGATAATTCTATGAAATTTAATTTTTGTTTTGTTTTATATGGGGTATAAAATTTTCAATAGAAATTCGAAAAATAGATCGAAAAATAAAGGCACAGTCTCTATTTGAAGCACAGTCTCTAATAGAAGCACACCCTACGAGAGGATCGAAAAATAGAAGCACATGTGCTTCAATTAGAGCATTTACGGTATTTAATTATTTCCTATAAAGATATCTCCTCACAGGCCAGCGAGAACAATTAATTAATTTTCTATTGGTGGATATATCTAAGGTTGAAGGATAGAAAATTTTCGAATCCCTATTGGTTCCTGAAGTGGAAAATTAATCCAGTTCAGGAACCAATAGGGATTCGAAAATTTTCTATCCTTCAACCTTAGATATTGGAGGTTTAAAGACAGACATTTCCTCAACTACATATGTATATAAATTTTTAAATCTTAAATTCTAGCCTGGATTTAAAGGTGCTGTCATTTCGGTAGGTCTGCCGACAATTCACGAAAAAATATTTTTCTGTTTCCGTTTTTGTATTGCAGTATTGAATCAAAAAATTCTGTTAAGGAGCACTTCTATTTTTTCAAATCTTTTTGATAACTTTTTTAAATTATTTATTTGCTGTGGCCATTCTAGGCATTTATTTTTCTAATTTTCTTTCATTTTCTCAAATAATTATTTAATTTTAAATAAATTTTTTAAAGATTCGACTAATTGTTGATGATATTTTTGATCAGAAAGTTTTACAATTCACTCCACGATTGAAATGGCTTGGAAATTCTTTCTTTTTTGTTGGAGGTGTGCCTCAATCTTTGAGACATTTAATGCCACCAGAACATTTATTACCCTTTCGTGGATGCCTAAAAAAGGTGTTTTTATAAAGAATCTTGTGATAGAAAATGCTATAATGTCTGTCTCATACATTTAATTTTATCACAATTTTTTAATCCCGCATGTTAGATGCAGAATCGAGGTTCTCATAAATAATCGTTAAGTCATAGAATGCAACCTAACCTATTCACTAACAGAATAATCACTAATGATATCTTTATCACAAAAGTAAATACAAGAATAAACATTATGGAATTAGGTGTTAATGCTCAAGTATAGGAAGCAACTGTAATTCAGATTTCAATCAAAACAGATCGTTAATGAATGCTTCTATACTTGACACATATCTTATAATTATTATTTTTATTTCTCTAAATTATTATTGAAAGTAACTTGATATTTAACTAAGCTTTCAGATATTTTTCCAATCGGGTCCTGTTGAACTAAATTTAATTCAATTGGCAGATCAAGGATTTGGTCAATCTAATGGTATATTTTTTAAATAAAAATTATATTAATTTAGTAGAAATTTTATTTAGAAAGTGTAATAAAAGTGATAAATAACAAATAATATTTTCATTAGAATTTAATCATAAAAAATAATATTAAAGTCCAAACTTTTGGTGACCTTACATTTTCTTGTATGCCAAGTGCTCAAAATGCTCCTTTGGTTTTCTCTTTTAATGATGGAAATAATTATACTAAATTACCTCCTTGGCGTTCTCCGTCCCGTGGAACTTTAGGTCTGTTTTTTCTGGAGAAATTTTTTTAGAAAATCAAAATACAAAGTTAATCTGATTTAGGAAAAAATTTCGTTGCTTTTTAATTACCCTTTTTTATTTTATAAATAGAGGGAGACCTTATAAATATAGACGAGTGTCGTCGTGCCTCGTACAAGGTTCTCGAAAAATCCCTGTTCCAATAACCAAACTTTCTGAAAGAGTGAAGAGAGATCATAGTGAGTGGGAGTAATCGTAGTGAGTGGGAGTAACATATGTAAGAGAGGGAGAGAGGGATAAGAGTGAGAGATAGAGTGAGATACCGAGATTTGAGGGGAGATTCAAGACTAATTTTATAGCTTATACAGTATCTCTTGCTGAATAATAATTCCTTTAAGCCTTCCAATTCCGAACATTAACTCCTGATGGATTACTTTTATATCATGGAATGGCACAATGCAGGAATTTTACAATATGTGATTATTTGGCTTTTGAATTAATAGATGGGCACTTATTTGTGAGATAAAATTTAAATTAAACAATTCAAGACAGTTTTAAGATGATAGTAAATCTTGGATCTGGTGATATTCGACTTCAGGTAATAATCTATTAAAATTCTTATCAAATTTTTAAGGCCTCTGCTAAATCATTGCATGATGGTTTATGGCATAGCGTTGTTATGGAAAGAGGTGGACGTAAAGGTGGATAGGATTTTTTAAAGAAATTTAGAAAATTCTGAATTGAATTTTTAAAGGTTTCATCTCAGTTGATTCACTCAGAACTGAATTTTCCTGCCCGGGCATTTCAGCAAATTTAGATATCGGTTAATGATAAATGTTGTTATAATTTAGTTCAGGGCTCCGATCGACAAAATGCCACTCAAAAGTATAAAAATCTTGTAAAAAAAGTACATAGGGAGAAAATTTGCAAATAAAAAGTACGCTCAAAATTAAATTTGAAAATATATATTTGTGATCAAATCTTTTATATTTCTCTCCTAAATTAATCTTTTCTAATAATTTCTTGTTTCAACTGAGCATTTTGTGCATTTCATTGCATGACATGTCAAAATTTGCTGCCGCATGAAGCAAAGCTCTGACAGTCTTAACCTCAAGCGAGTTTCTTTCGTCCATTGAATGTTTGCCATTGAGAAGCGCCGCAGGCGAAAATTTTTTGAAATTTGGAGCCTAAGAAGCCAGATTTCTTTCATTTTTTGCGCCGCAGGCGAAAATTTTGAGAATTTTGGAGGTCCTTAAGCCAGATTTCTTCCATTTTTTGCGCCGCAGGCGAAAATTTTGAGAATTTTGGAGGTCCTTAAGCCAGATTTCTTCGTTTTTTCAAAAATGTTGATAAAAAAGTACATACTTTCAAAAAAGTACAAATTCAATTTCGGAAGTACGAAGGGTGATAAAAAAGTACAATACTTTTAAAAAAGTACGAATCGGAGCCCTGATTTAGTTGAATTTATATAGATGAGCCAATATTCCTGGGAGCTGTCCCTTGGCCTGACTTGTTTTCTTTTGATCAAGAAAATGAAAAGGATCATCAAGTTGAAGCTGTGACAGTTATTGAAATGGGAGAACCTGTTGAAATTAAAAGAAATTTTCCTTCATCTGTAAATAATCTTATTTATAATACCTAATTAGGTGGTATTTCATTCAGTTTGTCATTTGTTAAAGGCACCGGCGTTGGGTAATGTTCCTGGAGCTAGGCCGGATTCGGCATCGCCGATGTTGAGACTCCTAAATATCCGGAGCCAGTTCCGAGATTAAAAATGACAGGGTGTCACAAAATGCTCAAACTTATCACTGATCGGCTCTATTAGTAATTGCCACTAAGTGAGATAAATCTGTGTATCATACTAGGATTTTACACACCCAAATTTCTTGAAGAACCCCAGCACTTCCTCTACTTTAGTGGATTTATTTTCATAAATTTTTAAAGGTTTGGACAATAAATCTTCGTCAAGGCTTTCTTGGTTGTATGAAAAATATTCGTTTAAATGGCATAAATATCGAAATTGCACATATGTTTCAGTCAACAAAATTATTACCAACGGAAGGACCAACAGAAAGGAGTCTTTCACCAAAAATAAATAGATGTAATTATTAAAATATTTATTCCCCACAAATAAAATACTGCATTTCCTTGAATAAATACCATGTGTAATTATTTATTTAACCTAACGATAGGGTGAGTAATTAGTTGAGGGAGATCGAACGCTTACTTGGGATCACGTAATTTCGAAGATTGGAAGCGAGGTATCCCGTGGGATTAATTTCGTAAATCAATGAAACACTGGACTGGATATCGTAGAATCCCCCATTTCGTATGGGAAAATCCCGAAAATCTTGTAAAATCTCGTAATTAAATGTGAAGATATGATAAGCTTGAATGATTGTGAGATTTCAGGAAAACGTTATGGGTTAATTTGCCTTTCTCCATTATATAAATTTTTATTTTGACATTATTTTTAAGCAATCTCACTTGGTTGCCCCTTCTCCTTTTCTGTTGATTTTTGTAAAAAGCCTGGCAGCAAGAATCCGTGTAAAAATGGGGGTATTTGCTCGTCATATCATAATTCATTTCACTGTGATTGTTCTGACACTCCTTTTGATGGAAATACTTGTCAACAAAGTTTTGAAGAAATTATTAAAAAAATTTTTAAAAATTTTCTAGAGCCTCGCCCTTTGCCTTTCCCTCTACCAGAATCTCTCTCAGCCAAATTTCATTTTTCTGATTCTTGGAAGTTGGAGGCGGAAAATTTGGAAATTAAATTTCGTCCAAAGCTGGGAATAACTTTAAATGAATTAAATAAACAGAAAAAACTTTTTGTTTTAATTGATACAAAATCTGATATTATTAACGAAAAAGATGAAGATAAACAACGTTTATTGATAGCAATTACTGGGAGTGGAGGATTAATTGTACATTGGATATTTCAAGGAAATGAGCAAAGTGTTAGTTGATTTTTAAAATAATATAATAATACAAAATTTGATCGAGAAAAGATCTGGTATCTGGAAAAGGTAGATCGCAGATCATGATGATTCTGGGTATTCATTTCATCCTTTCCTTTCTTGGTTCCTGATCCGCCTGGGCTCCAGAGCCAGCTCCGAAGCTAGCTACTGGAGCCATCAACAGCTCTGTTTATGTTAAACTGTTAAAATTCTGGGATCGGGGGGGGGGCTTGTTATGGATCTATCAATTCACAATTATTGAATGTACATATTTATTAAAATAATTAAATTATAGACTTTTAATCTGAGCTCTGCAAACATTACAAATAATGTACATTGGCATTCACTCAAACTAATAAGAAGGGGGCAACGAATGGCGTCAAAATTGGATGGAAAATGGCATAATCGTAAGTGCCTTAAATAAAAAATAAATTTTATAATCAGCTTAAATGCTCTAATATGAGCCCTGTGCTTCTATTTATCTTAGGTCGCGATGAGTAGGCTTATAGGATAAAAAGCTTCTATTGGAAACTGAACTTATATTTTTAGTTTGAGCTCGTCGGGAGGCTTGTATTAGAGATGGGCTTTTATTAGAGTCTGGGCTTATATTATGACATTCACGGCGGAACGTCCCACTTGTGTACCGGCCGTTTGTGTACCTGGCCATATTTTGGGCCATAACTTTTTTGATTCTTAACCGACTTCAATTATTATTATATCAATCGAAAGCCTTGGATGTGATGATTATTTTCGCCAACAGGATTGATTTGATCAGATCATGTTATAAAAAGTTATATCTCGATAAATGCGCTCAATCGTGATTTTGATCTTTATCTGTCTTTAACTTTTTGTATGATTATCTGATCAAATCAATCCTGTTGGCGAAAATAATCCTCACATCCAGGGCTTTCAATTGATATATTATTTATTTAAATCAATTAAGAATTGAAAAAGTTACGGCCCAAAATAAGGCCAGGTACACAAACAGCCGGTACACAATGATCCCCTACCCCATTCACGGTATTTTTAAATTTAATTAATTTTTGACAGAATCACTAAATAATAATGGAAACAAACCTTTAATTCTCTTTATCAATGAAATAGCTATTGCCCAACCTATTGGAACTGCTAAAATAGCAAGTAAATTTTTAAATTTTTTGTTTAAAAAATATTTTTTATTAAAATGATTTCTTTCCAATTTAGATAATTTAGAGCATTTGTTTCGTTTCCACGGCGATTTAAGGATTCTTTCATTGAATGGGCATGATTTATTAAGGCCTATACGTGTTATGAAAAGACAAAAAGGTGCATTTAAATAATAATATTAATTAGAATTTTTTGAAAAATATTAAAACAAAATTGAGAATTTTAAGGGAAAATTTTTTTTAATTTTTTTGTAATTTATTTTGGTACTATTGAATTATCCAAGCTCATTTTCAGTATTTTGTTTTATGATTTCAATGGCGTATAAATTCCAGTGATTAAATATTATAAAGTCGGAGCAAAAATTTACCTCCGAAATGAAGATGGCAATCGCTCATTCCTAGAATTAGTGATAAGTCAAATCACATTTAGGGATCCAACACTTAAGTGTTTCGTCTTAAGATATTTGGTGCAGAATTAATTCAGACTCCCCCAAAATCCAGACCCTTTTTCAAAAGAAGGAAATAAAAAATTAAAAAATGGGGAATTAAAAAATAACATTATTTTCTAAAAAATTCTTTCTAAAAAATTTAAAAATATTCTTGAGGAATAAATATTTACAAAACTTGATTGTTAAACATTTTATCTTTTAATACTTTTTTAATAAAATCTACATGCATTTTATACTTAGTCCATTTAAATTTAATAAATTTATTTTTTACTTTTTATCAGCTCCACTCTTATATTTATTAAATTTTCTTTTAATTTTCAAAAAGTTAATTGTTCTATTTATAAAAAAACTTTATTCATTTTCTGCAACATTTTCCCGTTTAAATTCGACTCCCTTTTCTCACATTTTCCATGCCTTGTTTAACTTGAAACTATTCCAATTTTAACATTTTCCACTTGACACAAATTGGATTAGTAAAAAAAGAAAATTCTTTTGGCACTTTTTTTATATTTTTTACTGTTTTTTTATAGAAAAAAATGTTTTTTTTACTCTGCGCACATTTTCTTTCCTTTTTTATTTTTTAAGAGAGGAAATAGGAAATTACTTTGTATATTCCAATAACCACCATTTTCCTTCCTAACAACTCTTATTATTAAATACATAAGCTGCTAAATTAAATTTGTAGAAAAATGTTGGAAGAAAATTTTATGCATAATTTTAAATATTTTTATAAAATGAGGAAATTGGCGAAACAAAATTTAAGGAAATAATTTTTGGGAATTTATGGACGTAAAAATAAAAATCTGGCTTTTTTGATTTAATAAAAGTTTCAAAATTTTTAAACTTTCAAAAGGAATACTAATACATATTCTGCATTATGGAGCGGTAAGAATAACTTTGGTTTTGGATCATGACTAGGCGAAATTTCGTCCGTTTCGCTCTTTTCCTATCTTTTTCCATTTCGTTTCGGAACGGAATAAAAAATTTATTTCGCATGGCCCTGCTCCGGATCTGTTGCTGGATCCGATATCAAGAACATCAACTAAAGATCGAGATTTTTGAAAAGCCTGGGCCTGTTCCTGGGTTCTAAGTTCGATTTATTGAGCTGGGCCGGATCCTGGGCATGTAGTGCAGGAAAAACCCAACCATTGGTCCAGGCCCAGCTCGATCTCTTTTATCAAATCACTGACATTTTTCAAAACACAATTTTTTTATTTTTTATTTTCATTAAAAAATATTTTTAGGTCCCTTCCAAAATTATTTTTACTTTTCATTTTTATTTTTAAGACAGCAATTGACACATTCTCTTTACCAATATTTTCATTCTCTTCAAATTTCGTCATTTTTATTTAAAAGCTTTGCCTTTTAAACACTTCTAGACACTAAAATTTTTGTTTTGGCACCTCAATTACTTTTTTCTTTAAATTTGGAAAATATTTTCTTTCAAGTATTCTTTTTGAATGACGATTAAATATGTAGCTTTCCACAAAAAATTTTTTTCGCTAAACTTTGTGCTTTAAATAAATTTTGTGTTTGGAAAGAAAATTGCAAGGTTTTGGAGAAAATATTTTTGGATAAAACCTAAAAAAATAATTTTAATCTGCCCAAGAAGGATGGTTCATGTTACCATAAAAGACTATACTCGAGCAGAGCTGTTTCGAAGCAGAAATATCTTCGAAAATCAGTACTCAAAATTCTGAAACCAGACCTAAAAAATTTTAATTCGAACTCCAAGTAAAAGAAAATCTTAAAAGCTCATCACTATACCGACCCAACTTTTTTTTATCCGACACTTTTCTAATATCCCCACGAACTCTTAATTTTAAATTTAAGATTTTTATCTTCTACATCTATAAAATTTTTAAGCTAAAAAATTATTTTTATATGTAATTTATGATTTCGTTCATATATGACAGATTTTTAATTTTTTGCCCAAAAATTTTAACTGCCTTTTTAATATTTACTTTCAATTTTAAGCATTTAATACCCTCGAAAATATTTTTGCCATAATTATACGAATATTTTTGCCAGAAATAACCATTTAATATTTTACTTTTATTGTTTAAAATATAAAATCCTTTTCCACTTTCATTTCTTATCTCAAAGCTCCCATCATTTGTCAAAAACGTAAAAATGCCAAAATATATATTTCTTATATCTGTTACCGAGTTATTGAAATGGCAATGTAAAGGGGCAGAAAAGGGGAAGGGAAAATACTTTTTTGCTTTTCCTCAAAAAAATATTTTTTTCCTACTTTTCTTTGAGTTTCTCCCAAGCTAGTATCAGTGCTTACTCATCTTCCAACAATCCTTTATTTAAAATATTATGGCCCATTATGGCACCGGGAAATTTTATTTACATGAAAATATTTTTTTGAATTTTATTCAGGAATTTAACTTAAATTCGTTGAAATTTAAGCAATATTCTAGGAGGTATATTGGATAATTCTGAAAATTTTTTATTCAATTTCCTTATGAACTTGAGAAAATTTGGATTTTTCGAGGCTGAATAGTTTTTAGAAAAATACTCTGATTATGTTGTGACAAGAAGGGCAGAGA